ACTGTAATAGTGAATGCTGGTGCATGCTGACCAAATTTAAATTTGTTCACTTTTTAACAATATCACAAGTTTAACATTTTGTTAAAAAATGTTATTTTTAACTTTTTTTTAAAAAACTGCTTTTCAAATTGCATTTAAATTGATATTTATAGTTTTGTGTGGATTTTCTTCGACATTAGTTTCAGTTTCCTATTTTTGACCATGTTTACTAGTAACTGTGTTTTGGATAATACTATTTTGTTTAAAATGTTTTTGTTTTTTTTCAAAAAAACAAGAAATTCTTAAACTTTTAGCTGCTATTTTGTTTTGTATTTCACTCCTAAATGGCCATGTGATTGTCATTTTTTTTTCAAATTCTACTTCAACACACACATTTTGTTCTTTCAAATTTAATTTTTAAATTCTTTGTATTTACAGTCGTCTATTAAAGGTCTGCAAATGGGTGGCTTGGACATAATCTCTATCACAGACAACACTCCGGTACCAAACAATGGATGCCGTCCCAGGAAAGCTAGAAGACTATAGATGTACACAGCAGTAAAATTGTTTGCATCCTGTAGCTGTATGAAAGTCGAGATGGCGAGAGATGAGAAAACCTTTTCCAAGAGAACATTGATATTGAAAATATCATTCTGAAAAATTATTAAAGCAGTTACATTTTTAACGTTTGTGAGTTAATGCATTGATAGCCATGCATGTTTCACTCTATACACTACTATTAGTAATCAGCTCCTTGGACACATTTTTCTACACTTTTTTATTGTAATTCTTCAATATTTCTGGAAATGAATCCTAATTTTGGAGCCAACAAACAAAATTTGAGTCAATTCTTAGTTTTTCCTCAAAAATATTTGGCTATTTTTGTCCCAATCTTCTGAAGGAAAGTGCTGACTATAAACAGGACTATTTTGCGAATTTGTGATGAAAAGGGGGAACTGGTGGAGAAAAAATCTCCGTGGAAGAACGTGGAAGTTGATTAATTAATAACATTTGTTCATCCAAGGTATTGTTCGTTTACTAAAGACAAAAAATGGTACAGTATCAAAGATATTATTTCACCAAGTGAGCCAATCTAAATTGCATCATGTTTTGTCTCATTTACATAAATTAATATTCATGAGCAATAAAAAACTTGTCTTTTCAGTAAAATTTTGCCAAAATGCTTTCTGATACATACCTGATAGCTCTAAATTGACTGATTCTATCATTACGATATGAACAAATAATCGAAAAACTGTTGTAAAAGTGTTTTTTTGAGACACGTTTTTGATCAGAGTCCAGCAAACTGATGAAAGTAATCACATGGATTCATGGAGAATGCAGACACACATTTATATTTCACTTTAGTACTATTGCTCAAAATTGCGCATAATGTTTTCAATAACATTTACCAGTGAAAAGTTACTTAATTAGTATTTATTTCAATAAATTGCTGTGTGTGTGCATACGCAGTTTGAAATGGAACATCATTCATAGAACTCATTGCTGCAAGAAACTAGTAGCACCAAACTAGTTTCGGTTGAATTGTTTTGCGATAGACATAATTTAGGGCCTGTAAATTTCTATGTAAGTTTCGTTGAAAATTATTTTGTACAGAAGTTGCTGAAAAATGATTTCATGTGTTTATAAACAGGATGTTGTTGCTTTGACGGTAGCCTACGGATGACTGACTTTAAAATGTCCCATTCAGAATGGATGGCACTTTCTTGTGCCAATCCCCACCTTACCCTGTAAAAAGATTAATCACTCTGTGAATGTTAGGTTGGTTTGTGTCCTGTCAGGAATAATATACATGTTTCTGGGCCCTGATCCACAGTGGCATCTGAAGTAGATTTTAGATCAATACTCACTTGCCACTATTCATTTCAATATTTCATGTACAGAATTTTGCAAATATTCACTAATAAAAAAACAAAATTTGTGTTCAGACCTTACACATTATTCTCTGTTTTGCTAACTTCATAATGAAACGAAGTCGTAAACATTGATTTCTATCAGCCACAAATTCTATTGTCTTGGATGTCCAACCTTACTCCTTCAATTTGAACATCATCATTTTTTCCGCCAAATTGTTGGAGCAAATAGTTCACAGATTTTTCTGTATTTTTCTATATTTTCTTTAATTTTGAACCAAAAGACTGTAAAGATAATTTGAAAAAATATAACGAAGGTTTAATGAAAAACATAGTGTAGCAAGCCCAAATTTACGAGAAATACTATTTTTATTTTTCCCTATGGATTTAATAAACAGGACTCTGAGGAAAAAAGAACATTTGAATAATGAAACTTTTTTTTTTTTAAATTCAAGATTCAAATGAAACAATGTGTATTGGAAATACATTTTTATCCATATTAAATATTTGGAAATGTTTGTAATCATTTGCTGTATGCTAATTTCTTGGTTTTGTAACATATTTTCATGCGAGAACTCCTCTACGCTTATCTCAAACCTATCATTGTACATCACACAAATTGTTGATATAACCAATGCGCCTTTCTTTTCATCCACTAAAACAGTTTCTGACGTTGACGTGGATTGTTGTATACATTAGACGTTTTGTTATAGATAATAATTTGAAATGATATTAACATTGAAGTTCATTTTCTAGAAAATGGACCGAGGCTAAACAGAAAATGGAAAACCTCATAAGGGCTTGACCATTTGCAATCATATGGCTGGCAGAAAGATTTGCTAAAAAAAATAATTTACAAGCTAGACACTAAGAGAGAAAAAAAAATTGGCTGCAAGGTGTTGCAGAGTAAACATTTTGGCAAATTCAGGAAAAATAAGAATGTTCAGACATGACTGAGAAAAAAAAATTTAAGTACCCCCCCCCCCCATGATTTCTAATGTTTGACCCCTAACTTACTATTGTGGTGAAGGCCATTATTATCATTTCCCCATGTTAAATGCAAATTACATTTAACATTTAGATTTCTATGGAAAACGAATGACGAGTCCAGAGTGAACCTGATGCAGATAACAGTGATTATATAATGCCCGTGGTTATTGAAACCGAGCATTCCAGTTTTACTTTCATGTCTTCTAGAGTCTATCTAAAAGAACAAGTGTTCTGTCTATATTTATAATCTTTCTGAACTTTCCCCACCACCCTTACAGAATGGGATAACAGCATACTCTATTTAATTTCCATTATCCTATTTGTCATTTAGTAGCGTCTATACTTACGTAAATTGCAGAGGCATTTCTATAATCAAAATAAGTAGTATTTTTATGATTCAGTATACAACAACAAGGTTTATATGTGCTTCTACTGGAGATGAGCTTTTAATGGAACAAATACGGTATCATGGAATTCATTCAAAGTTAGATGAAATTTAATAACTAAGACTAATCCATGCAAATGATTGGGAATGAAAATAAAAGTTAATGTTTAACTAGTAACAGTTTGTATGTACAGATGAGTCTAAAATGTTGAAACCGTGAATCAAAATTAGTTTGTTTACTGCTGCTAAGTTTGTGCTTTTTTGATCACATTGAGCTTGGTATTTTGACTATTACATACATGTAATGTTGGCAAGTAAGTCCTTGGTCTGGAGGGGTGGGGTGTATGTGAAATAAAAAAAAGCTGGACATCAACAAAAATTCTAAAACTTCTCTACCAGATTGCAAATGGGTGATTATTGACTACATTTATTTCTCGTGTGCATTTGTGTGATCTTCCTATGGCATACTGGCATACCGGACCCTCTAGTTATGAAGCTCGTCGTAGCGCCCTCTAGTGGTGAGATTGTTGAAGGGTCGTATTTATTGTTCTTGTCGCCCTCAACAGTCCTGGTAATTTTTGTTTTCGCTCCCAGACCCCACCCATAATGCGAGTTGTTAAGTAGTTCATATTCAAGTAGCCAATTTAACCTCTGGTCATCATAGTGTGTGGTGTAAGGTAGCGTTATCGTGCATTGCAGCGACCCCAAAGCCGTGTCGCATCCCCGGGTCGCATCACACTCTGTGAACCACCAGATTCACATTGTTAATTATTATAATATGATTAAATGTTTAAAAGAAACTGCAAAAACAATTGTCTTTGTTCTCTGAATGTGTTTTTCTAGCAGTATTTCGTTTTATAATATAGTCGCCAGATACCAGTCACCTGCACGGTCGATTTCGCCCCCTCCTTTTCCGTTACCATGACGTCATCGGCATATTATCGCTCTGTGCAAGACTACCCCATATATGATAGAGGGCGTGTCACCCAGACCTACATATGTATTTATGGTGGAAAAACAAAATTATTTTCACACTCATTCACCACTGCCCGATTTTTATGTTATGTCATTTTATTTATACTTTTATGAAAACCGAGTGAGTGTCACTGTATTTCTCGTGATTTTCAACGCTGTTGATAGAAACGCGATAACGTTTCCGTGTGCTTGTGTGCGACTGTGCCAAAATACTCCCCAAGATGGGGTGGGGTATCCCAAAAATATAAGAGTTCTACTTTTTACATTTCGTTTAAAACGGTGTGTGTGTGTCCTAATTCTACATTCTGGTTAGAACCTTGGTCTTAATTATAAAACAAATTGTGAATAGAATACAGGGTCAAATCTATATATTTCACAAAATGTCCGACATGTGTGTCTGTACCACAGAGCCTAACTATTTACCTCTTTTATGTGAGTACCTCCCCGAACCCTAATGTCCGATGTGCGTACCTTTCACAACTTCCATGTCCATTTCGAGTACCCCCTTCAGTACCACCGTATCCGATGTGCGTACTCCTCAGAACCAGCATATCCGATGAGTGCACCCCTCGGAATCCCCATATCCGTTGTGCGTACCCTTCAGAACACAATATCCGATGTGATTATCTCCTTGGAACCCCCATATCCGATTTGCGTTCCCCCAGAACCCCCATATCCGATGTGCGTACCCTTCAGAACCTCCATGTTCATTTCGAGTACCCCCTTCAGTACCACCGTATCCAATGTGCATATTCCTCAGAACCAGTATATCCGATGAGTGCAGCATCGGAACCCCCATATCTGTTGTGCGTACCCTTCGGAACCTCCATCTCCATTTCGAGTACCCCCTTCAGTACCACCGTCACGGTATCAGATGTGCGTACCCCTCAGAACCAGCATATCCGATGAGTGCACCCCTCGGAACTCCCATATCCGATGTGCGTACCCTTCAGAACACAATACCGGATGTGATTATCTCCTTGGAACCCCCAATTTGCGTTCCCCCAGAACATCCATGTTCATTTCGAGTACCCCCTTCAGTACCACCGTATCCGATGTGCGTACTCCTCAGAACCAGCATATCCGATGAGTGCACCATCGGAACTCCCATATCCGTTGTGCGTACCCTTCAGAACCTCCATGTCAATTTCAGAACACAATATCCGATTCGAGGGTCAAACTATATATTTCACAAAATGTCCGACATATGTGTCTGTATCACAGATACCTCATTTATGTGAGTACCTCTCGGAACCCTAGTGTCCGATGTGCGTACCCTTCAAAACCTTCATGTCCATTTCGAGTACCCCCTTCAAAACCACCATACCCGACGTTTGCACCCCTCAGAACCAGAATATCCGATTAGTGCACCCCTCGGAACCCCCATATCCGATGTGCGTACCCCTCAGAACCAGCATATCCGATGAGTGCACCCCGAAACCACCATATCCGACGTTTGCACCCCTCAGAACCCCATGTCCGATGTGCGTACCCTTCACAACCTCCATGTTCATTTCGAGTACCCCCTTCAAAACCACCATACCCGACGTTTGAACCCCTCAGAACCAGAATATCCGATGAGTGCACCCCTCGGAACCCCCATATC